ACTCATAAGAAAAGGGCCAGGAACAATGGGCTATAGGTGACTTAGTCACCGTGACTAAGGGTCGTAACGATATTGTCGCGATAGACGACGTCTATTAGACCTCATTAAATGATTCAACTCGGCACGAGAGTGAGAGTCGCATTATGAAACGCACATAGCTAGTTCAGAAGGTATTCCGTGGTGGGGGACAAGCATGAGATCCCCAACTCACAGAGCCTGTCAGGCTCAGCCTGATTGACGTGGTGACTAAGTCCTAGTCTTCGTCCAACAGAGGCAAGGGCGACCGCGGCCTCTAACCTGAACAAGTGAACAAGGGAGTAGTAACGATGGAATGATCGTGATCATTCCCATGATCGTGATCACGTGATCATAAAGCTCGATTACCAGAAGGACGTTTCCTTGCACACCATATCATACCGGACGAAGATTACGGCGGCTCCGCCAGAAGCTTCATCGCTGCAAGCCACGTGAATTTCGAGGAAGCCCGACAATGTCGTAATACCTTCTGCTTGGTTCGTTACCCCCGCAATGGACGATCATCCTCTTATTGCACCTGCCCTGAGTGGGGCAAATGCTAAGTTTGTGGGCATGCAGTGGCCGTCGCCCGCAGGTACGACGAGGATAGAAAACCTGAGGCGATCGAGCAATGGAAAGCTGTAAGAGTATACTTCAGAGGTGCGAAGCGCCATCGGAAGCGGGATGGACAAATCGACGAGAGTGTGCTTCCTCCGGGAGCACGCAATGGTCTTAGGTATGGAGGATCGACCGCCTCTAGACGGCCGAAGAAACGCAGTCAATCACGAGCCAGAGGTCCTCAGACACCGGAGATGCAGCCCCCGGTGCCGAAGCGTGTGAAGATTGTGATTAAAGGAACGGATTGTGATTAAAGGATAAGGCCCTCATCCTACCCTGGGCAGAATGCTAGTTTGTAGCGAGCTGTTCACCTGGTGACCTTCACCTATAATTACCATGTATCTTTTCCTTCTAACTTTTGTTGTGTCAGTTCACGGGGACCGTGACTCACAGTCCGTGAGAGCAATACTTCTCTGCAAGCTGTCGCTGTTGCGTATACCCAGAGTCCCTGAAGAAAAACGTATAATTGATAGCTGAGTCTCGCCGAAATATTACCTGCCTGTTGGTGAGCCCATCGGCTACATCCCGTTGGACCGGATGAGCTATATAAACAGTTTTCCTCTACGTGGAAGTAGCCACGGGATGGTATCACACTGATTCTATAACCAACGCTAACTCATCTGAGATCTTCACTGAGGATCGTCCGCCTGCGTTCGTAGTATCCAAACCATCGAATTGATCACGGGTAATGATAAGAATTGTGGACTCTGCATACCAAAGGGCTGGTACTCATTAATATTCGATACTAGATCAACAGTTCATAATGAACTTGATACTATGAACTTTTGTGAGAAGGTGCGCGCGCAGGAAAAAAATGCGCGAAAAAAATGTAGGCCCTGGGGATCGAACCTGCGTCAAAATGGGGTTGCATACTCAACCCTGTCCCGGAACTGTTACCCAGGTCAACCACCCTGAGGGTGGCACCCTGAGAATTACCCGCCTGAGTCGAAGCCGACGGAAGACACTTACGGCTTTTTACGCTAAGAGTTGAACTGTCAGAGTTCTACTGCTTCCTTTTAAAAAGACCCTGTGTGATACAGGCTGTATCATACAGCCCACCCTCGATCGCCAAGTGTGTAGTACTGTGTACCACTCTCTGGCCTAGTGGATGGACCGCCGGATGTAGTATCATAGCACACGGCGGTCAATCACGCGGCGTGATTCACGTTCATTTAGTCCACGAACGCCTTTGAATTTCTGCTCACATCATCTATAGAGTACCGTTGAGACATTGAAATTCAAAGCTCGAAGAGTGCCTCAAGAACGTCGCATCATTGAGAAGGCCTAGAATAGAGAGACAGGAAGCCTGAGAGGCAGGAAGCTCGAAATGCTCATAGAGGGATTCTATTTACAGAGTCTCTCACGGTGAGAGACTCTCACTGAGAGTCCCTCCAGTCATGACGAAAACCTAGCAGGCATTAACCGAGAAACTAGTCGTTTGTTGTTACGAAGAAGATTTACCGACTGATCGGTAACATTGACGTTGCGTTCAGGAAGCACTCTCAGTGAAAAGGAAACACGAAGCAGATTCAAAAAGCACAGGACCACAGCACAACGCAACAAATTAAAACAAGAGAAGCACTCATGACGGGAAAAATACAACCAGGGTGTCGAACAAGGACAACAACCTACGGTGGTCGACTTTTCCAACTATTCTGCGGGATAATATTATCCGAAAACGGAACTTTCCCAACCCAGTTGAGAATGACTAGCAGAAATCACAACGGGGTTCAACACACGTTGACAAAGTACATTTACCCCCTCCTTCCAAGAAGTCGTCGATCTGCTTGACACCTCCGTAAGTAAGGGCTCGGAGTTTCATCATACATCTCCTCAGTACTGATCGCCGACAAAATCGAGCGGACAATACATTGCGAACCAAGTTCAATCCTGCCCATGCACCTCGCTGCCGCCATCGCCCTCTTATGGACGCTACGGACGGAAGTGAGTGTAGACAGAAACTTGGTCATGACGGAGACCTTAACTTCCGAGTGAACGGATAAGCGCTCTTCTCCCATAGTCGGCCGCACCAGCCTCGACCAGCGTATGCTCTATAGCCTCGTAGTGTGATTGCAAGTCGGATGGCTCGCATAACTGGGGCAGGCATAGCTTGGTAACGGACGCTGCCGAGCAACGTGATGGGCGCGAGGTGGCTTCGGTCGACCTTTCCTACCTCGGGAGAAGTCTGCCTAATGGGCTCACAAAGGCTTCCTCCTCGTGCGGAAATGCGACTTATTCCTCTGCGGAAATATCGCTAATCGACCTGTCGGCCAGCGCCTCCAGTTCTGCAATACGGGCCTCAAAATCGCCGATCTGGGCCAAGAGATCCTTCTCTTTGCTGCTAGTCGGCCAAAGCTGGTTCGTATCATCCTTATCATCAGGGATGATGTTGTTGACGGTCTCGGGTGTCTCAGGCTACGGCGGGTGGAGGCAAGGCCTTGTCGGGCTCGAGAGCTCAGCCTGCCTCAGGTGTCGCCATATTAACAACGTAGACAAGTATTCGGTTATGAAACTGAGTTATAGCGGAATTGATATCACCACTATACTGAATCAATAGCTTTCCTCTAGAGACACCATCAACTTCGGCGGCACGTATGCGCATACCACACTGCACGCATATACAAGGCAGAACTCGGCAGTCAGTGCGCATCAATCCTCAATACTTGCTAGCGTGGGAGGCACAGTCGGGACACTAGGTGTCCCGCTGTGCGCACAATATAACACAGCATCTCTCCGCGCCGGTTTTAACCTAGATAAACTACTCGTTTATCCGCTGAAAGAAAACCCAGCTGGATCGACGGGAGAAGCACACAGTGATCATCATCAATACTCTCTAATAGTCGAATCATCAGGTATGTCCTTCTGAGGTTGCCGCGGGTGCCAAGTCGCTGGTGATTCCGGTACGGCCGGGAGAAGCTGTTGGAGATCTTTGTGAAGTACGCTTGAGACTTTTACGTTTTTACACGCTGTGTCGTACCACTCCTTTGTCAACTTCTGCAGAAAGTAAAGGAGTCTATTGGTTCCACTCGGGTTGATATTCTGACCAACCCCCCAGAGAGCCTCATCGTATCACAGCAGGAGTCGGCCTTGAAGGTCCTCGATGCCGATGGAGGCTTTCAGGTGAGCCGAGCGAGCATTCCTTTAACGCCCAGTCATACTTATCTTCCTATCACTAACTAGTTTCAGCTCTAGTCAATGTTCAGTTGCGCGTCGCTCCGCCCGAAAAGCACGCGGCTGGAGCCACAGTTGATTCGAGTCTTACCTACGGATAGCAGCGCCCCACCCGACTCCGGCGATATCGAGAGACTGACGGCTTTGAAGGATCAGCGCCGAAGGCTGCTAGCTTTACAGGAAGAAATACGTAGCCTTGCGTTAAGGAAAACCAGGTGAGCAAGTGACGGAAGGTGGTTGGTCATTATGGATGTTATTTCTCAGTAAGTACGCTATCGGTGGAGTTGTGCTGTTCTCCGTCGAATGGGCTCTGGTCTACTACGGCACTTACTTTCTTTACGGATGGGATGTCATGGAGCCAATAACAGTACAGTGATGCTGTCTTCCTGCCCGATCCAAATACATAATAGAGGAGGATTCCCTTGCATGCTTTCAGTACCTATTGGCGCTACTAGACGTCATCGTCACTTACGGTTTTTTTATGCTGTGGAGGAAAGATTACTCGCCGAAGACTCTGCAGCAAGTGAGCCCACAGTAGAGCGTTCTTCACGGAAACATCATTCCTTCCGAGGCACTGGAGGGATTCTTCTTGGGTTCCATCTGATATTGAAGAAAGAATATGAATCTTAGCACTTGATTTATCTTGGAATCGCTTCCGAAAAACTTTGACTGAAGCCAAAGAATCTATGGAAAAATTCAGGCGAAGAAATGCTGAGCTAATAGATGCTATGCAGACCAGAGACTTCATCCAATCACTAATACCTTCTCTTATCGTGGCTGTTGTCCCCTTAACAGGTCATCTACTCGAGACACGAACGTAAGCTGAGTGAAAGCCGGGGCTTCGACTTGGAGTTACAGCAGGCTGTCGAGCGGGAGATCAGACTGCTAGAAGATAGGCTCAAGAAATAAAGCCGCTCTCATCTTGGGTGTATTCAGCATGTTTCACGGAGGAAAGCCGTTTCTTCGTTCAACAGTACTTGGATGACAGCGGACTTTCGTCGGACTCGATCTAGGAGATTCCGAGTACTAGGCTGGCTCGCTATCAGCTCGTCTTATAAATCAAAGTCCTCAGAGTATGTGGAGCGAGGTTAGAAACGGGAAAAGCGAGCGACACGAGATGCTTGTTTGCGTCGCCTTTGGAATGTTTGTTCCGCGGTGTCTGGCGTGCGTTAGTCGTACAGACTTAACAATTAGCAGCTGGAATGGTCTAGTTGGTTATGACGATCGCCTCACACGCGATAGGTCCCGAGTTCGATTCTCGGTTCCAGTACATTTAGACAGTGAATCTCGAAGTCGCTCCATGACTACACCCTTTTCCCGTGCAAGTTTGACAAGTGAACAGGCAATAATGACAATATCACAAGCAAGTTTGACACATGTCAAATTTGTTACCCCCGAGAATGTCAACATGAAGTCCAAGTTTGACCCACATCGAAATTGTAAACACCAAGAATGTCAATGTTGAGTCCAAGTTTGACAAGGGCAAGAATATTACATGCAAGAATGACGGTATCACAGCGGAGTTTGACAATACACGGCCAAGATTGACAATTACCCATCCAAGTTTGACAGCGCGGCGATGAAAGCCCAGACTCAAACAGAAGAGCTCATTCGGCTTTGGGAAACCACACATATTCAACGGCTAATGCAGGAAAGAAACCCACCGTAATAAATTGACCGTATATTCCGCAACATCTCGCACGTGATGATTTGAGGGGAACATGCCCTCAAACTGCAACACGGGCTGACAGAGGCGCTCGAGAGCTACCGTTTAAGCAGATTTTGAAGAAGGAGTGTTCAGTGCCTTCACTTGTTGTATTTCGCTTCCCTCGTTGTCGCTACGGCTGGATATCTCCTTCGGCCGGTACGATGCACATCCTTTGTCACATCCTCTCCTGTCAAGCTGTACTGAGGATTCTACGACGAATGCGAAGACAAGTCTGATCTGGTGGGCTTTGTGCAGACAATCGTTATCGATGACGGCATTTACTTCGCATTCGAAAACCGGGAGGTGTTCGAGCCCCGTTCATTCAAGATCTTGGGGCCTTATAATATGACCGTGGCCGACGGTAAAATTACCCCTCACTACAACACCGAATCCGACGAGGTATTGACCATAGCGGAACAGTTTACTATCACCGCTATCAGATGTGACCGGTGACCTGGCGACGCTCACAGCATGCTGGTCAACACCCATCTAGTGAACGGATGGGGAGATGCTTACGTAGTTCCTCCTCACGCTTCGCTGCCTTGGCGGTGCATTTACGGCGAGTAGCCCCTAACCAACGGCCATACGTGGCGACAGCCCTGCCGTTGGAATGCTCAGATTCCAAGCCTAATACCCCCAACACTGCAAGCGTAACACAATGGCCAGTCTGTTTTGAAAATCTAGTCATGTGTAACCGCTGCATTTAATTGGGCATATACTTTCCATGCTCGCTAGACTCTAGGCTGTATCATACTGTAGCTTGGTAGCTGAGCACTTGTGTTTGGTGAGGTCACCATGAGGAGGGAACGAGTCGATAAGTTAACGGAGTACCGGCTGCTGCTACTGGCCACGCTGCCGACGCTCGAACGACCGACAGAATTGTAGCCTGTCATCCGAGGTATCTCGAAAGTACCTGGCACTTAGCGGTTGCTTTGGAATAAGATTCATCCAAGACGCACCCGACGCTCTCCTCGGTGGCTGAGCATCACATGGTGAAGGCGCCGGGAGGGAAACGACAGATCGATCCGGAGATGACTTGGGCGGGGGAAGTGATCTCGGGTATCTGATGGAGTAAAGCGTGCAGGCAGTGGGGATGCGCACGTCCGCACGCCCCCAAGGGGTTGGCTAAGAGCCTCATCCGGTCCTCATCGTTCTCATCCTCCGAGCTGGTGGGCTGGGCTTCATCCACACCTGAGAAGGGTGTCAGTCTCATTCGCACGGTCTGTGTTATCAGAACCTACTCCCCTTTCCTGTAACACCAACAATTCCCGATGACAATGATTCTGATGGGGAAGACACGAAGCAGTGCGGGTCCGTCTGAACGCACACAAGCACCTCATGAAAGGTACCATAAAATCAGATGAGCTCACCTCGTTCGGGTTGTACAGAATGATGACATCCTTCGGTGGGTCGTCCTCCCTTTCCTCAAAGACGATGCCTCCTTGCCGGGCATTGTCTTGATGGATGTCCGCAGGAGACACTAAATGTTCTGACCCGGACTCGCTTTGCATTTCTAGACTCTGCGGTATTCCTGATGGGCACAGGTTCGATCCCTGCTCGTGACAACTCTCAACCTACCTTCAGTATGGTGAATGACTCGTATGACGCCGCTACCATTAGAAGTATGCCGAGCATGCTTATGGGGGTGCAGTCTCGTCACTTCGCTGTCCGTCTCGCTGGACTGCTTGTTATGCTGCCGATGGACACTGTACGGACAGGGTGTTGATGCGTGTGCGACAGAATCTGAAAAGGGACGCACGCGCTCTGACTTCATTTTACAATTCCCCAGGGTGATCGTGGCAGAGCGAATCCCATCGCAGGGCTGTTGATACTCACGAGGACTAGCCTCGCTGGTGATGAGCTGGTACATGCCTCGACATTCACGGCTGGAATGGTCTAGTTGGTTATGACGATCGCCTCACACGCGATAGGTCCCGAGTTCGACTCTCGGTTCCAGTATTATCGAACAATTCGTCGGACACGTAAATCATGCATGCAACGACACCAACGTAATGAACTCCTTGAGGACTCCTCACCTCCCTTCAATGTGGTTTCTGGAGTCCGTATGGGCGTAGACACTCCACTTGCACCCGATTGAGTAGCTCCATCGTCATCATTGCTACTGGCGTCCTCCTCTTCATCGTCATGTTGTCGAACATAATACCTATACGCTGGATGAATCTTAAACCTGTTCACACCGACCCTCAGCACGCGGCACTCAAGGAACCTCCTACAGACGTCGAAGTAAAGGCTGTACACTGCCTGTGAGGTCGATGGCTGAGAGGGCTGCATCCAGAATGCTATTGACTTTACTCAGCTCTCGATCGCGGTAGTCCCCGAGGTAACTACAGGGGCCCTGTCGACGACGCAAATGTTGACAAGTCTCACTTCTTGATGGGAATGCCATTATCGAGATGAAAGGCGAAGCAGCACCTGACCGGCGCAGAGGCACCGTCGGCAGCGGCGCAGAAGACTACAGATTATTGTCCAATAGGATGGTGCGATTGAGATCTCTCCCGAGGCACTTGAGATCTTTCACGAGTATTGTTGACTCTCTTTCATGGTCGAAGAACTCCTGCGTGGAATGGCTCCAGGCAAAACGAGCCGTTGGAGCGTCGTACCGTGCAGTGTTGGCGATAGAGTCTGTGGGACACCAACGCCCCATGGGGATCGAGGAAGTCCACAACTTGGTCAGCTAACAGCAGATGTCTCGTCAGTCAGGAGTGTCGTCTTATCACCGTAGCTCTTGCAGCCAGCCGTGAAGATGACTATCTCGAACTTGCTGGCCCAGTAGGCAAGGTACATCCTCACCCAGGGGCGAAGGAATATGTACGCCTGGGGAAGATCATCAGAACTGATGAGATGATACATCACTGACTGATTCCGAGTTCTCCTTGTCTGTTGGATCTGCATAAACTCTCATGAAGTGCTGCTGAGCCGTTCCTTCTGCCTCCGGCTCCAGACCTATTACAGAGCCCTTCGACAAGGGACCAAGATCGCACGTCTGCCAGCAGCATGCTACGAGTGGGATGGCGCTTGATGAGACTAAACACTTTCTCGACGCTGCAGTCACTGGAAGTTTCGAGGTCATTCCAGACCATCAGCCCAGTCAAGGGACCGGTCATGATGATAGACAGAGCTACGCAGAGGCCTTCAGAAGGGCCGAGGTCCGCCACGAGAGCAGGAGGAGGGTATTTCGAAGGGAACCGCAACGCGTCATCAACACAGTCCAGTCATGGCCTGGCCGCGTACTAGTAGGAGAAGCGACCAGGGGGGTCACCTGATTGGTATAGGAACTCATAGGACATGAGGGTGAGGGTGTCGTCAACATCCAAGCACAGAGTGGGGCGTTGGGGATCCTCAGCCGGAGGCCTGATCTCCATACAACGATTAGATTAATTCCTCGAGCTTCGCTCCGCTCACAGGTATGGCCAATCTTCATTATTTCTAATCTCATCATCTTCCTCTCGGCACAACCGCAACTAGAAACGGAGAAAAAGTTCGGACCAGGCAGAAACCGGCAGTGCCTCCTCACCTGTGCCATCGACTTAAAGGCATGCAAGGATTGTTCACATACCTGATCCATACAACGGGGCTGTTGAATAACAAATGCTCATCAACATGCTACAGTGGTCCAATCAAATTCTTCGCGGTGCGAAGATTCTTGACTGCCCCTCACGGCTGGCAGCCCTCTAGGGAGACACCCAAGCCTGAATACAGCGCTGCAGCGCGTGGCGATGATCCGGAGACTCCCTGGAGTTTGGTTCTGCAATTATCATGCTAGGAAGAAGGAAGTCTTTCGTAGGATATTTCTAGACTTGTCGTTGCTCGGAGTAAAAGTTCTCTGACGCGGCGCTCTCAATATCAGCCATCACGGCGGGCCAAGCAGACCAGTGAAAAAAATCCTCAACATCGTTATCGTCCAAATACTGTCTTCTATACGATGACACGAACCAGCGGACGAGCGCACCCGAACAGGAGGGCCGAGCGATGGGCGACACGAACCTCTGAGACGAGCCGTCCAGACTGTTAATGTTCGAAGGCGTGCAGGAGGCAAGCGAACTACGTCGGCTCTGGGAAGTGGAGGGCCTCTGCTGGGCGGCCAAAAGCCTGATAATTTACCAAACTCAGGATCGTTGCGAAGGAGAAGCTTGCTGTTGACTGACCCACGATTGCCATCACCAACTTGATGGAGAGTGCTTTGGGGTGGTGGTAGGGTGAGGTGCACTGTACTGCCTGTTCCACTGGGCAGGGGCGGAGCGACGAAGGTGGACAACATCAGAGAGGCGGGGAGACACTTATCCCGATGCTGATCAACGGCTTCGTCTATCAATTATGCTGTGCATGGTCGAGCAGCACAACCTCGATTTCCAACTCTGAGCTCACTAAGACGGTGCAGGTTAAAGAAGCGAGTAATACGCGGGGCGCTCGCCTGACATGACCTTTACGACCTCATTGGCCCTACAACAGGTCGACGGAGGCCTTGCGGACGTACCGACACACATTCACACAATACGCCGCCTGGATTTCAGCATCCCTGCCGGGATGGAACTGAGACCATC